GCCCCCGCCCCGCCGGGCCCCCCCCAGCCACAGCCAGGCTGCAGAAGCATCTTCTGCTGGCTTCCACAACCTGATACCCTGAGTTTTGGAAAACACCTGGGGGAGCTCCTCTGGGGGACATCTATGCTCTGGGGGACATCTATGCGCCACAGCACAGCCAGCGGGAAGGGGACCCAGTAATGCAAGAAGCACGGATGGGGCAAAAGCAGCTGAGAGGTGCCTACTTGTCCATCTCCTTGCGGATCTCCTCCTCTGCCATGCTCTTGAGCTGCGAGTAGAACCAGAGGTGCTCCTCCACTGTCAGCCTGTCAAAGAGCACGTTGTGCTGGGGACACATGCCCAGGTTCTTCCGGATCTCGTCCATCTCTGTCCGAATATCATGGCCGTAGATGGTAGCGGAGCCCGAGGTCGGGGGGAACAAGCCGGTGAGGATGGACCTGGAGGGATGGAGAAAGGCAACAATGTGAGGGACCTCATATTCCTTTGTCTGGTCCCAATCCCAGCCACCGCCTCCGGGAGCATCTGCTGGGCCACAGCCAGAGCAATGCCAGTGCCAGGCCATGTGCCTGCTGCCTTTCCCCACTTCGTGCCCCCCCCCCATCCACACCACTGCCCTCTGGGCATGGCACCAGCTGCCACAGGGTCCTGCCAGTACCTCCGGCAGCAACTTCCCCACCCACTGCAGCTGGCCAGGACACGGCCCACGTCCGACCCAACGGGCACTCACATGGTGGTGGTTTTGCCTGCACCATTGTGCCCCAGGAAGGACACCACCTGGTTTTCATAGAGGTTGAGGCTCAGCTTGTTCAGTGCCAGCTTCTTGTCTGTCTTGTAGACCTTGGTGAGCTTGTCAATGCAGACGACCAAGGGGAGGTGGGTCGGCTCCTCCTCAATGCCCCGTGTCTCCTCTGCTGCGAGAGCGCAATGGTGAGGAGCTGGGGGGTGGCAGGGAAGCCAGGCTTGGAACTGGGCCCCCAGGGGATGAACCTCCCTGCCCCCATCCCATAGCAGCTGTGCTGGCTCACGGCCCCTTCCCCTCTGCTTCTCGCCAGCTTCCCCCTCCCACACCATGGGCAGCAGCTCCCAGACAGGCAGCAGTGCCTGGCCCATGATCCTGCCCCTGACAGAGGACACATGGGGGTCCCTGGCCACAGAATGACCCTGCGGCAGAGCCAGGGCCACCCCCAGGCCACCCTCTGCCACCCAGTCTGCCCTCACCCAGCCTCCGGCTCTCCATGGCACAGGCCTGATCCTCCTCCATGATGCTGAGGCGGGTGGTGCGGGACCAGGGCCAGGTCCACTCCCAGGTCTCCACTCGCCCGTTGCCCAGCCAGTAAGACTTCTGGAAGGGGAAGTACCAGGGCCGTGGCAAGCCGAACATGCCTGCAAGCACAACCCCGGCAGAGTCAGGGCCAACCCTGCACCCACACCCGTGCAGAAGCCAGCCGAGGGCCAGGGCAGAGCTTGGAACAGGCACAGCCATGGGCATGAGCTTGGAGGTTCCCCCAGCATAGGGACATCAGTGCGGGGTGGGGGCTGCAAGCGCCCTGGCCCCCTGGGCTCAGGGCAGCGCTGCTGGGCTGTGCAAGGAAGCAAAGTCCCTTGGGCTTTGGGTTGGGCCTGGCTCACGCTTTGTTTTTACTAGGAAAGCAAAGGAAGTGGGCGAGACTCCTCCCCAGGGGGAACAGTGCCCAGCCACGGACACCTCGCCGTGCTACAGTTGGCCAGTGAGCTGAGATGTGTGACTGAAGCTCTCCAGGGAACCTGCTGGTGTCACCAGTGGGTCAGGGCTTGTGGGCACATGTCCCCAACAGGACACACGCAGGAGATCCTGAAGGCACATTGTCCCAAATCCCACCATGCCAGGGCTGAGCACTGCCAGGAACCAGTGGTATCCCCACCGAGGAGGCTCCTGTGAGATCAGAAGTGCCCTCATGCCCCACCTCCCTCACGTACCCGGGTGAACAGCCTCAATGTACCACGTGAGCACCCCGTACACCACGGCATCCACGATCAACATCATCATGGACAGCAGGAGGTTGAAGTCGTCTCCTTCCACAGGCGACTGGCTGAAGGTGTGCCACTGGATGCCCACGCCAGCCACCTCGTACAGTGCAAAGTACTTGGAGCCCAGCCCGAAGGCCGTGGTGGACATCAGGGACTGCGGAGAGGCGGAGGGAAGAGAAGGGGACATCAGCAGGACCCACAGGCCAGCTCTGGAGGAACGGGTTGGGGCAAATTCCTACCCAGTGCTGCCCCACCCAGCCCCATGGAGAAGCCTCCAAAGCCCCGTGGGGAGCTGGTTCATAGAGGCAGAGGTTTGCCCAGGGCTTGGCGACAGCTTGGTGGCTTGTGTACTGGACATGGGGTGCCTGGGGAAAACCTGGAGCCAAGTTCCTCCCCAGCAGCCACAGCCAACTCACCGCGATGCACTTCTCAAAGGCTGTGATCTTGTCATGAGCCACCTCCTCCCGGATGGCCACGTACATGTAGGGCACGTAGCTGAGGAAATAGATGATGCCACCACAGGCAGAGGCCAGCTTGGCCTTGGAGTAGAGCACCGACACCAGAAAGCTGCATGGAGAACAGCGTCACCTCGGACCCTACCCCACCAGGGCTTTCCCCACACCGTCTGATTTTGGTGGTGTTGAGATGATAAATTGTCCCTGTAAATCAGCTCCCTTGGGGGCACTTGTGCCCCTCCACCGGCCCTTGCCCACACAGCCCCCAGCACCCTTGCTCCATGGCCCAAAGACCCCAGCGCTGCCCGTGCCCCCTCACCCCACGGAGTGGACCAGGCAGCTTACCAGAACATGATGGTGGCCACTGCGTAGATGGCGAGAAAGAGCCAGATGATGAGGACATCGCTGTGCATCAGGACCTTGCCATACTTCAGGATGGCGGTGAGCGCCGTGACTGAGATGGAGAGCTGGACGAAGCCGGTGATGAACCAAGCCACCCAATGCACTGCGTTGTTCAAGCCCATCATCTTCATCACCTGCGAGGCTAAACTGCTCAGTGGGGCTGTCCCCTACCCTGTGCATCCCTGTTGCCTCACTTGCTGGGGTGGGAGAACAATGGGCAGCACCAAGGGGTGCCCAGGAGCTGCTGCTGGGAGTGGACAGGCTGCCACATGCTGTGCCAGGGTGCCAACAGGCTCAGCTCCCTCCAGTGCTGGGCAGGGCTTGTGCCAGGGACACTCAGAAGGACCAGCTCAGCCCATGGATGTGAGATCTGCACCCACCCCAACTCACGCACCCCGGAGACATGGGGAAAGAGCCCAGGAATGCAGCGCAGAACTCAGAGCTCAGAGATGTCAGGTCCTCCCCAGAGATCTCTCCCATCATCCCCACCTCCTTCAGGCGATGCTCCTTCTCCGTCACAATGTGCTGGATCATCATGGCCACCGAGTAGACCCAGGAGATCACCATGCACAGGGGCATCATGTGCTCGATGACGAAGAGGAAGCTGGTGGGGTAGAGGAAGAGAGGGGAAAGCTGGATGGTGGCACCACTGCAGAGACCCAGGCAGACCCTGGGGCACAGGGCAGCCAAGGGGGTCTCCCACTGCCCGGGCACAACCAGTCCTCCAGTGCAGCAGCTCCTCAGTGCCCTGAAAGAGCTTCTCCAGTGAGCCCATAGGACAACCGAGTGTCCTGGCTGTCAGGTCCTGGCAGGCAGAGGCGCGGCAGCCTCAGGCTCGGCCATGCATCCTGCCTACACTGGGGTTGACGGCGCTCTATCCACCCTCCTGCCCTGGAGGGCTGGTGGCTCTGGGACTTCTCCAGGTGCTTCCTCCAGACCACTGTGTCCAATAAGCACTGACAGACCCATGTGCCACCCATTTACCACACTCCTCTTGTTCTCCCCAAGTCTTTCAGCTTCCAAGACACCCTGCAGCCATGAGTTCCTCACTTCATCTGCAGACTGGGCACAAAATCCTTCCCCTGCTTGCCTAGCCTGGTGGTCCCAGGAACAGGGAGGCTTAACTGGTTGCTCATCGCTCCCAGTGTTACCAGCCTCTCTCAGGCCCCCAGACTTATCCCCTTTTCCCAGCTGAAGTGTCCGGCCCCTGCCCACTTGGGTGTTACTCACTCGTCCCGGGTATAACACGGGTAAGGGAACATCTGCACATAGTTGCCAGGCTCCACCACATCGTGGCCAACAAACGTGTTGATGAGGGCACGCTCCATCATGTCTGCGGAGGAGGAGGAGAGGCCAAGCTGAGCGGGCAGCGCAGGCAGGGGCTAGGAGCATGGGCAGCTGTGACAGGGAGCTGGCACTCACCCTGGATCCAGACGAAGCCGTAGAGAAAGTAGAAGCGTCCGCCGGTGTTGGGGCCGGGCCGCCAGTACGCCCGCCGGATCTCGTTGGTCTTCTCGGTGAAGCTGGAGTTCTGCCGGATCTTGTACATGACGTGGGGAGGCAGTGAGCCGTCCCTGTTGGTCTGGAAGATGACGCCTACAGGCAGCAGTAGAGGCAGGGAGGGGGCTGGCACCCCGGGAGATGGCCACACCAAGCCCGCAGCGATGGGAAGGGATGTGGAGGGGTTCAGTAGGTCTCAGCCAAGGGCACCAGAGGGCTGCCAGGGATGAGGAAGGTGGGCATGGCCCTGGCAGGGGATGCGAGGGCACGTGAACAGCAGGCAGCGGCAGTGGGAGAGCCAGGACAGAGGCAGGGTGCTGCGCCCAGCAGGGCTCAGCCAGGGGCAGAGGATGGGTACTGTGAGATGCTCAGTCTGCTCATCCACCCAACATATGCACCAAGAGAGCCACATCCCAGAGCCAGTGGCCCCAGCCCAGAGCACAGCTGGAGAAGGACATGGCTCTGGGGACTCCCATGAAGGGGCTGGTTTCTGGGGACATACTGGCAAAGACTGTGACGTTGTCCTGGTAGGCCTGGTTCAGTGTGTAGTTGACGATGCTCTCCTCATCCGGGAAGCCTTTGAAGATGTCCACGCTGACCTAGTGGGAGGGGAAGGCCAGTGAGACTCCACTGCCCCCAAGGGGGTGTCTAGCACGCAGACCATGCACACAGTGCAGCATGTGCCACCCACAGCCACCCCGCCAGCCCCCGAACCCAACAGTGGATGGGCACCTCCACCGCTGACATCCACCCCAAAGCCCCCGACACTGCAGACGCCACTGCTTCCTCCAGGGCCCCCGTCCCCTCCTCAGCCCCACAGAGCCCAGTTGCAGGCGGTGGGTGCTGCTCCAGCACCCACGTTCCCACAGGCGGACACAACCTCACCTTGGCCATGAAGTGGACCCAGCCACAGGCGGCATTGTCAATGGTGTCCAGCTGCTGGAGCAGGACGCTGGCGTTGGGCAGGGAGAAGTTGCCATTGAGGAAGTTGTGGAGAACATCGCTGTCAGAGACATTCAGGATCTCTGGGTGCTTGTGGAGGTCGGCGGTGAACTGGGACAGAGAGGGAGACACGTGAGGGAGAAGTTGGGGTACACCCTGCCTCTCAACCCCCTGTCCTCCCCATGGACACAGACAGGACCCAACGCTCCTCCTGGGGACAGAGGGACAGCATCCACCCTGCGCAGGGAAGCAGCCTGGTCCTTGCAAGAGCAGGGTGGGCACCCAGGAGCACCTGAGAGCTTCACATGAAGAAGCTACGAGGTGCCGGGGGGCAGGACATCCCCTTCCCACCTCCAGGGCAGCAAAGCCCAGGCAGGCTCGGTCCCCACCGCACTACCCTACCTGCTGGAGCCAGCGGATGCGCCTCTGCAGCCTGCCCTCCTCCAAGTAGGCACGGATCTCGGGGGAGATGTTCAGCCATGCCTTGGCATAGTGGGTGACGTTGCCCACAAAGGCGAAGGTCTCGTTGGCCTGGGGGGAAGAAGGGCACATAGCACGAAGATGCAAGGCCCCCCCCCACTCTCTGAGGTGGGTAGCAGCCATGGAAATACCTGCCCACCTCCCAGCAGGCGTCGCTATCCAAACAAGGGCCAGGGCAGCTGCACCCTTCCTCCCCGCTCAGCCCCAGCCCCACTGAGCCTGTCTGGGCAAGGAATGGGGCTGGTGGGAGAGGAAGGACGGGGGTCCCGGCCCCTGCACCCTCACCTTCAGGATGACCTTGTCCACTTCGGTGCCCACAGGCGCGTACAGGATTTTGGGGTTGCTTGTCATCAGATGCACAAGGAGGCCCAGGTTTCGCTGCTCCTTGCTGGTGAAGCCCAGAGAGCTCATGTTGCCCTGCTTCAGCGCCTCGGGCTCAATTGTCCTGCAAAGGGGGCTCAGGCTGCCAACTCTGCTCCAGGCCCAGCACCCCTCACTGCAGGCAGCCCCCACCCCTGCCCATGAGGGGATTTCACACCAACTCCAGTGTCAGTGCGGTGCTGCGCAGCACGGGGAGCTTCCCCTGGCTGTAACACAAGGATGCAGTGCAGCATCCATCTCCCCTGTGCTCATCAAGGGATGACCAGGGCCTTTGTCCACTGGCAGAGGCAGGGTGGGCTCTGCTGCACCCCTCTCCTGACCAGAGAGCACCCGGATCCATCCCCCTCTGTCCCCCAGGGCTCCTACCGGTTGTTGCCGCAGAGGATGGGCTGCAGCCCGGCCCAGAGCTGCACAAATGCTGAGAACTGCCCCTGGGGGTTGTCACCACCGGCCGGGCCCCCCTCAGCGCCCTCCTCCTCCGCCGTGGCATTGCCAGCCGTGGCATTGGCACTGGCCCAGCTGGTGCTGTTGGCAGGGGGGGGGGGGGGCTTGGCGGGGC